AAGACTTAACTTTGCTTTAATTGTCAGTGTCCAGAAATATTGAAACATTAACACATTCATTTTAGTGTTACCTCACATTCTGTACTAGGATATTGTTTAAATTCCTGAACAATTTATGATTCTTATATGCTGTGCCTTTTATCAATTATTGTTCAGTATTGTGTTTGCGCCAATAAATACAATGTGTTAGTAAAATTTGTTCAATTTTTTTTTTCAAAATAGGAGCAGACCAAATACGGAGGGCCTCTAATACATTAGAGGTGGAATCAGGTGCCATGGACGAGTGAATATCCCCTGCCGACCCGTCACACCCGCTGTGTTCTCTTAAAATTTGTCATGATCGGGAAATAACGGGAAAATCCGTCGACAATTCAGTGTGTATAATGGCCTGATAATTAGTATGAAAACCGTCAGTCAGCATTTGACGATAATAAATTGTATTTGACAAGGTCATTGTATGCATCGACCATAGGTAGAACTTATGAAATGATCGATAATTTTATACGAAACAGCTTGTATTCTTGTTTCAGTAACTTTAACTTTTTTGTCAGTGAAATTGTTCATACATAGATATGGCACGCCAAATTCACAAAAATGAGTTAAACATAGTTTCACAGTCGATAAACTAGGTTTATCGGTTGTAAACTATAGTTTACGGACTGTAAACTATAGTTAACTATGGCACGCCAAATTCACAAAAATGAGAAAATCATAGTTTCACAATCGATAAACTAGGTTTATCGGTTGTAAACTATAGTTTACGGACTGTAAACTATAGTTAACAACGTTAATCTATATTTTACATCTGTAAACCATAGTTAACGCGATAATCTATGTTTCACAACCGTAAACTATACTTAACACCGAAAACAATCATTTGCGATTGCAAAACATAGATTATCTGATAAATACAGTTTCACGATTTGTAAACTATGGTTTACAACTCTTAGATATAGTTAACGATCGTAAATTATAGTTTACAGACGTGAATCTATGTTTATCAACAAAATCTATTGTTAACGTTTTATTACAGACAGATAAACTTCGATTATCATTCGTAAATTATAGTTTACAACCGTTAAATATAGTTTTACAGATGAAAACTATATTTAACGAATTGAAACTATAGTTCACGATTTGTAAACTATAGTTTACAGTCGATAAACCTAGTTTTTCAATTGTGAAACTAGGTTTAGCACGCCAAATTCACAAAAATGAGCTAATCATAGTTTCACAGAAGATAAACTAGGTTTATCGGTTGTAAACTATATAGTTAACGGACTGTTAACTGTAGTTAACGACGTTAATCTATATTTTACATTTGTAAACCATAGTTAACGCGATAATCTATGTTTCACAACCGTAAACTATACTTAACACCGAAAACAATCATTTGCGATCGCAAAACATAGATTATCTGATAAATACAGTTTCACGATTCGTAAACTATGGTTTACAACTCTTAACTATAGTTAACGATCGTGAATTATAGTTTACAGACGCGAATCTATGTTTATCAACAAAATCTATTGTTAACGTTTTATTACAGACAGATAAACTTAGATTAGCAATCGTAAACTATAGTTAACAACCGTTCAATATAGTTTTACAGATGAAAACTATAGTTAACGAATCGTTAACTATAGTTCACGGTTTGTAAACTATAGTTTACAGTCGATAAACCTAGTTTATCAATTGTGAAACTAGGTTTAGCTCATTTTTTTGTGAATTCGGCGTGCCATAGTTAACACTGAAAACAATCATTTGCGATTGTAAAACATAGATTATCTGATAAATACAGTTTCACGATTTGTAAACTATGGTTTACAACTCTTAACTATAGTTAACGATCTGATAAATATAGTTTCACGATTTGTGAAACTATGATTAACAACTCTTAACTATAGTTAACGATTGTAAATTATAGTTTACAGATGTGAATCTATGTTTATCAACAAAATCTAATATTAACGTTTTACAGACAGATAAACTTAGATTAGCATTCCTAAACTATAGTTAACAACCGTTAAATATAGTTTTACAGATGAAAAACTATAGTTAACGAATTGTTAACTATAGTTCACGGTTTGTAAACTATAGTTTACAGTCGATAAACCTAGTTTATCGACTGTAAAACTATGTTTAGCTCATTTTTGTGAATTTGGCGTGCCATACGTAGAGCATGCTCTTGTGTATCGAATCAGCTGTGAGATATAAACAGCGTATGATTGCTGCATAAGTAAGGGAATTTGACCATTGAAAACTCAAATAATCTCTTTTGTCTTAAAGCTTGGTTGTTAGAATACCATTAACGTCTTTTTCAAGTAAAATATCTAAATATGAAACATATGTGTCAGACTCTGTGGTATGTTTTCTTTCAAGCTCACCAAGATACACACTGTATATCTTATTAACATAAGAATGGAAATAGCCATTTTTAATTGACAATACGTCGTCGACTGAATGTCGAGTCGAAGGCCACAGCAAATGTTTTCTTCTTTTGACGCAAAAAAGATTTTGAACAAATTCTGCTTCATATGAATTACAAAAATATGTCTGCAAATAACGGGGCACAATTGGTACCCATGGTAATTCGATAGCCTGTTGGAAAACCTGGGTCTCCAATAACCACATAGATATTGTCAGTAAGAAACTCAAGCATCTTTTTAATATCAACTTTAGAGTATTTGTGTTTATAATTAAAATGTTCTCTAACAAAATAATTTTGAGAATGACAAATGACAAGGTGAGTAAATGTACGAGCTCCTTATTTATTGAAAAAGCAACTGTGAATGATATAAAAAAAACCTGGTCTTTAATATATCGCGGGGAATGGTTGTATATAAGGCCATCTTTCAAAAATTGTTTAGTTGCCCTCTCCTGACCGACAGACTAAAAATGGTCCGACTCAAAACTTTTCTTTGCATTCCAGGACACGAATTATTTATTTTTTTCCAGCTTATTCCTCTTATCCCGTCAACAAATATGTTGAAATTAACTGAAAAAAATTTCCCTCCTACCTACTGACCCAATGAATTTACTCTGAGTCGGGAGAGTGTAAGGAAACATTATTTGAAAGATGACCTAAAGTTGAGAAGTCGTGTCTTAATGTTGCTGATTTTGGAAAGTTTCGTGATACTAGTATCAAGTTTTCCAAAAGTTATTGGAATATTTTTTGGTATTCACATCTGATTTAGACCACTTCTCAAATATTTGTTCCACAGTACTCCTGAAATTTTAGTGAGGAGTAAAGAAAGAGGCTTGGTAGAACATTAACTGGAACCCGCTATGCATCTTTGTTTGTAGTGATTTTTATGAAGTTTTGGAATCCAATATAAATATGGTAATTCAAATTCATTCTAGTTGTTAGGGATATTAAAAATATTCAAAACTGATAAAAATATGGTAATTCAAATTCATTCTGGTTGTTTGAAATATTAAAAATATTTCAAAACTGACATATGATTTTGAAGAATTTCTTCCTTGGAAAAGGAATTGCCTTCCCACAAATTTTTATTAAACTAGATATCATAATTTTGAAGAATATCCTCCTTAGAGCTATGGAATAACTTGGATTACCACTGTATGTAGTAGAATTATATCCCGGTTCCTCTAAAAATACTATTCGAATAATGAGCCTTACAAACAAAATGTTGATACCTGCTTTGTCAGCAGTTGATACAATGATCTATCTATCTACAGATCGTATAAAGTTTTAGGTCCGTGTTGCTCTGCACCTATTTTGTATTGTTTGATGGACTTTTGATCTTGAATATATACTGTTCGTTATCTCCATATGTTTCAACCAATTCTTTTTCCACTTCTGTATTACTGAACAGAGAAGAATAGTTGGTTTTCATTTCGCCCCTCAATCATTTAATGCGAGATTTTAACATACATCTGATACATTTCATCCATTCTGACAACCTCTCATGGTCTTCTTTTTCATGTTTTGCCCATCGCCTGGTGTAATCTTCATCAGAATCCATTATATTTGTGAAATTATGACGCCAATGAAAAGATCGGGGTTCCCAAAAAATTGGCCTGTTTAAAACGAATGATCTAATGTCCTCGTTATTAACTATGTTTAGGTCCCCAGTAATAACATGACCAGCAGGACTATAATTGTACGGTGAAGAAGAACATAAACAGGAAGGAGGATTGTGTTTCAGATATTCGATATCAAGGTCTGTTAAGTTTTCTTGTAATTAAAAAGTTTGAAAGTAACAGTCAATGTACATTTATAGGAAATACAAGGTGTAGTCTTTAACTTGAAATATGGTGGAATGCAAGACTGAGGCCTGTTCAGCAGTGCGAACGTTCGCGAGCGCTCGCCAAAATTACTATTGGAGGTATAAGGAATTTTAGCGAGCGCTCGCGAACGTTCGCTCTGCTGAACAGGCCTCCAGATGGACTCTTTTGTGATTAGATGTATTGCCAATATTAACCGCGTCAATTCCTTGATTGGCATATATTGGAGTTTAAGGGGAAAACGGGTTGCTTTAGCTGCATTTTCTTCTGTTAAACGTGGCGGTTTAGATACCTTATGATTTGCAATATCCACAACCACAGATCCGAGCCTGTATTCTGATTTTCGAAATATTAAAAATGGACTTTCTTTGACCTGCTCAAGTAGACTTTTTAAAAGTTTTATAGGCACAGAATAAAGTTTGATGCGATGTAGACCCAAATTTTCATTTACATAATGAATCAAAAAAGACATTGTGTATTAAAGGTTTATTGTAAGACTGATGCCCATGACTACGCTTACGTCTATGTGTATGGTTAAAAAGTCCCATCATATTTACATTCTTACACTGTGGACTGGAAATATTCCCAACACTAACGACATTCACATTGCATCTATAGGGAAAGGTTGTATCTAGTTTTCTAATCCAATATTCTTCTCGTTGTCATAGAAAAGTGCACTCAAGTCGACATTTCATAAATTCTATGGTCGTTATAAGAAGACATGATTTATCAAAACTTTATTTCATGCAGGACTGCTGAAGGATGATCATTGTAAAACATGCATAAGTTAAAAAATAACATGGATGGATACATATCCAGATCTTAAATCAATTATTTATGCATTTTTTTTTACAACTGAGAAACGACTGAATGGACAGCTTCTATTGCTTTTGGGAGAAATTACTAGAATATCAAAGAAATCACATGTGCATTTTTCAGTTACAATACAATTACAATACACATATGCTTGTATGTGTGTATGAAGACTTTGGCTGCATACATGTACAGCTGTATACCTATGTTGGTTTACCACGAAAAGCATGACACTGTAAATGTATAAGCGGTTTATGGTAAAGGGACACAAAAGCAGTATTTCTTGTACATCAAGTAAATCTCGGATGATAATAAATTAGATACCAATTTAAATATTAAATAAATATGACTCTTGGCGTACATTATCAGAACTGATCTCTGGGCTCTATCTCCTCAGTTCGCGGCATGGAGGCACTCGGTAACACCAGTCTCTTCATCTTCTCGTAGCTGGACTCCTTGGTAATGGGTCTGTAGTCGTTCTCGTCGGGTGGCTTTTTGTTGGAGATTTTAGGGGGGAGGACGACGTTTGGGGGATCTGCTGGGTGAAGTTCCTCTTTTTTGTCCTTCGGTAAGGGCGGTTTTAGTGGATTTCCATGCCGATCTGTAGTGGTAAATATTTCCAAGGAGTCGCTGCTCTTTTCTCTTCCTGAAGCCCCGACTGAATTCATCTTAGCGTCCGTGACTTGTCTGGCCATTACGACTCGAATCTGTTGTAAAATAAAAGGACATAGTTGGAGTTTGTAAGAATATAAATTATAAATCTTCAAACTACATGTAATAAAAAAGTGAATGAAAATGAGTATAAGTAACTAATTGATTCCATTAAGTTCTTAACTTGCAAAAATTTTCATCCTTATTGCTGCAGTCAAATTCTGTATGGCTACTGACAGATAAGTTGATGTTACAGAGATTTCAACAATCTCGTTTAAAGTCGGCATTTAGTGAAATCTATAGTCGATATTGACTTTGTTAGTAATATAATCTATCATTGGGTCGTATTTCGGCTGACCTGTATCATATCACTTGTTAAACTTTTGTTTTTGTACTAAATATGACTAAGGAATGTTCCGTCTACTCGGTTGATACATAGGACTTACGGCGGGTGTGACCAGTCAACAGGGGATGAATCAGTTTGTATTGACATCTGACAGATATCTGACAGATAGCAATAACATGTGATATGTGATGACATTAAGCGAGTTTGAAATTAATGATACCATTGAGTCTGTTAGTATGCTCCCGATTGTTTGAATGGACTTTAATAACATTCGTTATCTCATTTATTATACCTCTACTGATTTTTTTCCTATATAAAAATTAGGTAGTAAATGAGAATAATTCCCTTGAAATCACTGTTAATGAATTAATCCCCTTGCGCTAGTCATATGAGCTAATCCCTGCTTTGGAAGCTAATTCCCAATTATCTGTATTCTCTAGATTTTACTTTTTTATCGGTATAATATGTTAATGGACTAATCCCCGTGCTTTAGCCAAGTGAGCTAATCCCCGCTCTGAAAATCTTTTCCCCCGACTTTTGAAACTCTCTTTTTTTTACTTATGTATCGGTATAATAAAGCAGTTAAAAAGGCTATCATTGAGGGAGTTAGCAAGATTCCAATTCCTCTCGACCAGGTCTATTTCCGGGAAAGTCCTGGACTTGGGGAACTGGAATCTTGCTAAGTTCCTCAACGATATACTTTAACTGTATAATACATGTATTTTATTACATGTTGTATTGATGTTATGTATCAGTAGCTAGTGTGATATTAGCTGACGTGCAATTTCAGCCCGTGATATATCAGCTGAAGTGTAGTATCGTGTATGATTAAAGCTGATGAAGTATATGGAGATAACGAACGGTATTTAATTTCAATAATGTAGTTGTCTGTATGGTAGTTATGGAAGTGTATAATTGCCTGCCTGGTTACAGTTAACATTATACTTGTAGATATGGTTAAAGTTTAAGTGTATGCTTGTTTAGGTGATTACAATTAACACGTATTCGTATTTGGGTGGTAACAGTTGGTGTGTATAATTTTTTAAATGTGGTTACACTTGACGTGTACACTCGTTGTAAACCTGAGATTTTTACTTGTTTTTTGTCGTAACAAAAACTTGTATACTTATTTATGAAAAATATGCAGATAACGAACAGTATTCATGATAAAAAAAAACATTACAAAATAGGAGCAGAGCAAACACCGACCTCCAAAACATCAGAGGTGGAATCAGGTGCCATGGAGGAGTGAGCATCCCCTGCTGACCGGTCACACCTGTGCTCCTTGTCATGATGGGAAATAACAGGAAAATCCGTCCTCAATTCAGTGTATAAAAATGAACTGATAATTAGTATGAAAAACGTCAGTCAGTATTTGACTCAATGACAAACTGTATTTGCTGTCAAGGTCATTGTATCGACCATGATGAAATGATGACTTTAAACAAGACTGCTGATATTCTTGTTTCATCAACTTGTTTGTCAATAATTTACCTCGTTTTAGAAAGTGTTCATACGTAGATCATGCTCTTGCGTATCGAATTAACTGAGATATATAAACTCTGTATGCAGGTGATGAAGGTACATTGCTCCATATAAGTAAGGGAAGCTGACAATTAAAAAGTTAAAATCATCACGTTTATCATAGAGCTTGGTTGTTAGATTACCATTGGCGCCTTTTTAAAGTAAAATATGAAAAAGATATGTCAGACACTGTGGTATCTTTTATCTCAAGCTCACCAGGATATATCTTATCGACATAATAATGGAAATTACCATTGTTTATTGACAATACGTCATCGGTATATCTGAAAGTCGAGTTGAAGGCCACAGCAAGTGTTTTCTTCTTTTCATGCATAAGATTTTGGACAAACTCTGCTTCATATGAATACATGTGGCAACATTTGAAACTTGTATTCTTAATTGTTCCTGCGGTAGCAGTTGACGTGTATATTTGTTTTATGTGGTAACACTTAGAGTTGACATTTGTTTGAGTAACCATGTATGCCCAAAATTAACTTGTATACTTTTTCATGTTTGCTTTGTACCTGCTATGCCCTTTTGATGTTATGAGGGTTTTTCAAGGAGGGGACTTATATACTTGCCTGTGTGGTCCTGATTGGAGCGCAGCAGCAACAAATGGAAGCAGAAGCAATGGCGAAGATCAGCTCATTGAAGGAAAAGAAAGCAATAAGAATAGGCACCATCCAGCGATAGGAATCAGGCTCTAATTCGTGACGCTAAAATCAGAAAAGAGACAAATTTAAAGCCTAAAAAAGATTCTACTGTGAATATGTATTTAAAAATAAATCCGTATGTTCAATTACTATTAGAATACATGTAGAGAGAAATATTTACTCGTCTATTATACATTACTAGTATTTTTGTATTGGCCCACAGTTTTTTGTATAATTCTGATATTGCGACATGATTTAATTCTTACCAGGATGGCCATGACGATATTAAGGATACAACACACGGGGGCAAACAACGCGGAACAAAGGATGCTAAGCACCAAAAACGTCATTTTCTGGAAATAAAATACATTTCATATTTACCAGCTTTGCCGCTTTTAATACGGGTGTTTGCTGAATCAGTTATAAAGTACGTATAATGTAAGCATATTTCTGCCATATCTGATGTTTTACACTGGAGTTTGTAAATAATTTTATCCCCTTTGAGGCGTCAGTGGGTTTTACTAAGATTACATATAATCTTTTAGTAGCATGAATATGATTGGAAATCAATTTAAAGTTACTTGTAACGGTCAATTGTACTCTAATTCCAACATTTAACTCGTAAACTGAGGACAGTGTCACCACAAAACCTGTTTTATCTTTATTTTAAACATGTGTTTTTCAACCATTGCAAGAAAAAACTGCCTTTTATATGCATAAGGTTTTTTAAATAACCCTATATTTCATTGATAAACACAATATTTTCTATAAAAGAAAAATTCCCAGATAATATGTAGTGATCTTATACTAAACTGACAGACCTATTTATTGCAGGAAACAGTCAAGATTTGAGCATAAACAATGCTATCAAATTTTATTAAATGCAACTGGACAATTCAAAATGAAAAAGGAATTGCTATGATAGAATTTTCTCATTTAAGGAAACCGTTCAAAGACGTTGTAATTTGTCACACCTGATAAAGTGGAATAGATTAAGGATGATCTCTGTGGAAACAAGAACGAGATTGTTATAGCAATAAAGCTAAATTTAATAAAACCTGCAGAAATTTATCTCTGGAGTTTGGTAGGAATTTAAACGAGATCGATATGGATATGTTGTGCAATTTCGAAAGTAATTTCGATAATGTTCACTTCATGCAATTTGAAGCCCATTCAGGTTGCTTATCATACAATCTTGCATAATCGGGAGACAGAGACTAGAAATTCCAATTTCTTTGCATCAAATAAAGGGAATACACATATCATACAAATACATACACAACCTGTTGTAGGATTTAGTTGTTTAAATTAAATAAAATTTGATGAACCAAAATATGCATAAAATGTATCTTACAAATACTTACAAAATAGTTTAAATTGGACTTATTTCTTTTATTCATACAAGCTGCCATACAACCAGCAACGCTGAACTGCAAGAAAGATTTTATTCTCTGAGAAGCATATACAAATTATTCAAAGCTAATAAGCTGTTGATTGTATAGCATATTTTGAAATATGTTATCGATTCTAACATAAAATATCTCCTATTATCTTTAGCATTCTTTTGCCATAGAAAAGTATCAAATAAAATTTAGACACAAAACTTTCTTACCCAGAGGCCGCACCAGATCGGGGAGGAGGTTATTGTTAGCGTCATCAGCGTGGTATCTCCCGCCATTACCAGCTCGTCGTCAAGAAAGAGATACAGGAATATATCCAGCAGCCCCAGGACCAGACACGTGACACCCAGGCCGATCTGTACGGCCCCCAGGGCTTTAATGGCGGAGTAGGGGAAGTTCTCTATGTCGGTGGTTTCCACGCCGTCTATTTCTGTGTACCGCAGTTTAGACTTCTCCGCCATTGTAGTCAGGTATTAGTCCAACTGCTCTGAGTCTCTTGTAATAAAATTAACAAGTTCGATATTCAGTCATTTGAAATTTAGATTTATATGAACATCTTCTAACAGCATGGAAAAGGCAATGATGCAAACAAAATTAGATCTCCTCCGGTGCAATTTAATGGGAAAAAACTATTCCAAGACGTCAATTTCATTAAAATGTTACTTTTCTTCCTCAGATTGATCTTATCTGGAGAAGTGACAACCTTCAATATTGATGAAGGAATTAAATCTTCATATATATCAAAGCGATGTGTGAACATCTTCAATCTTTAGTTTAAAAAAATGAACTTATTGTAGACTTGTTTAATTTTACTACGTAATTTACATTTTTTTTTATTTTAGTTACCCGAGTATATATTTTTGTATTGTATTTTTTTCTCATTTTTTTTCATTTTTCATATTTTTTCTTAAATTTGCATTGTGTAATTTCCATTTGTAATATAGAATTTTCCATTTGTATTATTCGATTTTCCATTTATATTCTTAATTTCTATTTATTTTTTTATTTATCTGAAAAATTATAAAATGCAAATGAAAAATTTGTAAAATACGGATGACAATATTTACAATTGAAAATTGTACAATACAATGGAAAATTATCGAATACATATACATTTAGAAAATCATACCATGTAAATGAAATCATATAACTCAAATCAAAAAAAAAAATCAAAATACAAATGGAACTCATCAAATATCGCAATATTTACATGCTATTTTGGAAGCAACAAAGTCAATTTTCTATAACAGATTGTATATTTTGTCTTCGGAGATATTCAACGATACACTAGTAAAATTTTTACACCCCGCGAATTGAAGCACAAAATCTTGCTATTGTACAGTGTTGTAACGAAAAGACACCAAGGTCAACAAAATTAAGCAGTAAGGAACATGAAATATATAGAGATAACGAACAGTATTCAAGTTTAACAATACAAATCAGGAGCAGAGCAAACACGGACCTCTTAAACATCAGAGGTGGGATCAGGTAAGCATACACTCGTGCTTTACCAGTGGAAAACGAAAGCATATTGAAAATCATCAATCGTTATTTTAATCTATTACCGTATGACTAAATATTTACTTCTACTCCCATAATGCCAAAGGATTACAATATAAAATGATCTCAAAAGCAGTATATGACAGAACTATTCACTTTTATTATCAAAATTATTCTCAAAGATGGGTTTAGTGTTTCATTATGAGATCAAGAAAAAACGAGGCGACTGTAGAATTCTCCCATACTTTAACATTTTATTACAAGATGGTTAATGGTTCCAATATTGATACAAGGTACTTGAGACACGAAGGGGCTTTGTAGATCTAATCTCTAAAATCTGTCAACAGTGACAAGAGATGCAATTTTTTAGACAGGTGCGTGCTCATTAAATGTAGATTCCATTTAATTTTCGAGTGGACCTAAAACATTTTCTTCTAATACGTCAGAATGAATATATGAATGATGATAAAGCTACTCGCATACGTCACGTTTGGATTGTTTCAGAGACCACCAACCAAACACCTCTAATATCTTTAAAAAGGAATTCTAAAAATCTAAGTTTAAGACAGTCGTTGAATAAACCTTAAACACATGTTTGAAATATATTTTATAAAGATACCGCATTACAATTTATTTGACACATCTGTCCCTATTTTACTAGAAAAAGACGTTAATGGGATATATAATCTAACCACAAAACTTTAAGATAAAATGATGAGTCTAACTTTTCTATCATCAATGTCCCTTATTTATGCGATATAACATCATCACCTACATGCAGTCTCAATGTCTCCCCGTTGATTCGATACACAAAATCATGTTCTAAACAAGTTGAAGAAACAAGGATATCAAGTCATCATTTCGCAATTTATATGTTCACAAAAAACTGAGGATTTTTTCGTTTCCCGATCATGACAAAGAGCGCACGATAGGTGTGATCGGTCGAGAGGGGATTCTTACTCATCCATAGCACCTGATCCCACCATTAATGTTCTCAGAGGTCCGTGTTTCTTCTACTCCTTACTTGTATTGTTTTAGTGAATGTGAGCCTGATTACTGATTAATTCAATTCAATTGATCGTTAATTATCTCGGTTTTTCACTAGATTTAGAGTCAAAATTAAAAAAATATTTTTAAAAAATTAATATTAGGAAGAAGTTAATTACTATGACTGTATCTTTTATTTTATATTTAAGTAAAAAAGCAATAATAGTTACAATTTATAACCCAATTATCAACATTGTTTCTATTTTATCGTTTTTTTATGATTCCTCTTACTTTTATTATTCTTTTCATGCAATATCCTCAGTTTCTATCTGACATTTTCATATTATATAAAATGGAAATATATTGATCTATCAGTTGGGGGGGGGGGGGGGGGGGAGGCTTGAACCCCCAAGGGGATCATAATTTGAACTTGAATAGTTACAATTTTTACGGTCTAATCATTAATATAATGTCAAACTTAGGGGGGGGGTATATTTAATTCTTGTAGACAGTTTTATTAATGAGGATAGGTCCTCTTGCCAACAGCAGACCATTTGCATTTGAAAGAAAATAGTTTGGCCAAAACAGACTTTATTAATTGTCACACTACTTTTGATTTTACTTGGTTAGCACATTTAACGATTTATTTGAATTTGAAGATATCCCCCAAAAATAGCTAGTATTCAAGGAAAACAAATAGAAAAAAAATTAAGTAAGAAATGTGATTTTATAATGAAACACTTTATTAAAATTGTATAGAGATATAAAACTGATGTATTTTAATCTTCCTAAAAGTTTAACAGCTGTTTGTTACAGAAAAACTTTGTTACGATTCCGTCCAACTAACAACGTGAAAATGCGGACTAAGTTTTATAAACCCATAGAATTAGCCTTCTTTATTATGATCTGTAGAATTGAAAGTCAACAAGTCGTGGAATTTGTCAATTAATGCAAACAAAACAATTTACCTGTTGAAGTGGTCGATAGTAATTTTTAACCCAAATCGCTCCCCTGCCAAAGTCTCAAAGAGAGGAAATTTATAGATAAAAATGTTAACATGCAAATTTATCTTGGCCGTGTTTTTCTGCTTGTTATTGTTTAAGTACTTTGTTTAAAAAAATGTCCATTTATACAATTTATCGAAGCATAAATAACAAAGCAATATTCAGTATTGTAGAAACTCATATTTGACGGGGTAAAGCTACAAAATATACAATATAGAGACAGGGGGATATTTTCTTAATTTATAAAATTCTAGTTTTAATTAAGAGAGAATGAATATTAACTAGCATATTGTAGGACAGTGTGGGGCACAAGAATAAGAATTTAAAAGTTATCAGCAATAAAAATAAAATATTTTTAAAAAGGCAGCAACCGTTGTACAATACATCCAGTAGTATTAGCACTCCTTGATGTTCAATTAGATAGAGTATATTGCAATAGCAATACATATACAGTTGCTTATGCTCCGATTCATTATACATGTAGCTATACCCTCCCTCCAATACCAATTTTGTCATATTTTACTTTATGTTTACTCTGTACCCAAATATATATAAAAAGATTATTTTATTTCTGGTGGTCTAAGAAAACTTTCTTTTTTCGGTCAGTTTCAGCAGTATGAAGAAAAATACACTACTTGAGACATTATTGTGGGTATTTCATATTGAGAAAAAGCATGCCAAATTCAGAGCTCGAAAATTGTGATGCTGTACTTTCGGGGTTGTTTTGGTCCTTTGGCTGAGGTGTATGTATGTTGTAACTCGGAACGTCAGTTATATTTACGTAAAAAAAATCCTTATTAAAAAGAGAAAATACTTTATGGTTCTGTAACTGTATCTTTCTGGGTTTTTTTTTTATTTAACGATTAAGTTTTTTTCCTAAAGCAACTTTAAGATTCTTAAATTTATTTTACATGTATATGTTCCTTCCAATTTTCTGCATTCAACCAAGAATGGGGATTAAAAATATGTCCATATATATTTTCCAGAAATGTGCCAAAAAGCAAAATCTTAAATTCATAAAAAGCTAAAAACAATTAACTTTACAAAAATTATTGTTTTGCGATTATTGTATTTCATTTCACGAAAAATGATACAAGTTTTCTCTGGATTTCGAACTTTAGTTGAACATTTAGGTATCGAAGTAGAAATCAAACATCTAAGTGGTAATTTTATGAAGAAAATACCTTCTTTAATGAAGTAAAAACAAGTTCTAAATTCTAAATGACAAAAATATGTAACGATATAGGAAAATGACTTAAATGGGATACAAACTATTTTTCCTCGGCGTTTACTGTCATATAGATTATGAATCAAAGAATTCAAAATTTGACACCTCAAAGAAAAGTACTTACAAAAACTAACTTCTTAATCCATCATTAGTTTTATCTGCTATTTCTTCATTCAACGCAAAAGGAGGAATAGAAATCACGTGATCTGACATACATACATGGTGGCCAAACGGGTTTGATAAAGCATTGACTTCTCCAGTTAATGGTATTGGTCCTCGCCAAATGAAGGCATGTGTTTACCCTGACCGATAAGATTGATGGCTGGAAGTAACTAGAATTTGGAATATAAAGATTAACTTTACACGAATTCCCTTTCTTTTGGGGGGATTTTAAATTCCCTACCTTTTCCAGATATCACCGATATTCAATTTCGTTGGTTGTAAGTACCTGTATAACATAAATTTGAGAGGTGCGTGTTCCTCGTAATGTGACAAATAAAGGTGCAGTGGGCAATTTCATAATCCAAGAAAAGTAATAGTTTAATGACAAGATATGGTTTAAACTGGTTAAATGTGAAATTTGAAATTCTTGGTTGCTTGTTTGTTATGTTTGTTTTGTTGTTAATGTCCCTCTCGAGAATCTTTCACTCATAGGGAGACGCCACCACTTGCTGGTGGAGGGCTGCAAATTTTGACCTATACTTGGTACTCAGAGCCATTGAGCAATTTTTCGTGCTAGCATCCACTGCGACACGGGACCTCGGTTTATACGGTCGAATCCAAAGGACCGGTCTTCACGTCCCACAGTAGCTTCAAACACGCGACATAAGGATCAATTCCTTACTTCGCGACTAGAGAGCAGACGCTCTAGCCACAACGGAAAGGGCGATTCTGACATTTTGTAGTTCTCCTCCTGTTCGCCTTGTCTTTACCTACAGACAAGAGTATTCCTGAAATGTGATATTTATTCTCTTTTTCTCCTTGTCTTTACCTATATACGGAGTATTCCTGATGATTTGTAGTTATCCTCTTACACTCTCTGTTTTAACCTATAGACAAGAGTATTCCTGACATTTCAAAGTTATCCGATATCTTTCCTTGCTTGTCTTTACCCATATACAGAGTATTCCTGACATTTTATAGCTATCTTCTTACACTGCAGTTATCCTCTTACACTGTAATTATCCTCTTACCCCCTTTGTCTTTATCTATAGACAAAGTATTCCTTACATTTTGTAGTTATCCTTTATCTCTTCCGGTCTTAACCTATAGACACAGTATCCCTTACTTTTCGTAGTTATCCTCTTAATCCCTTTGTCTTTACCTATAGACAGAGTTTTCCTATTATTTTGTATTTATCTTATTACTCTCCTTTTCTTTATCTATATACAGAGTATTCCCGATATTTCTCAGTTATCCTTATACTCTCCTTTTCTTTATCTATAGACAGAGTATTCCTGACATTTTGTAGTTATCCTTCTTCTCTCCTTTTCTTTATCTACAGACAGAGTATTCCTGACATTTTGTAGTTATCCTTCTTCTCTCCTTTTCTTTATCTACAGACAGAGTATTCCTGACATTTTGTAGTTATCCTTCTTCTCTCCTTTTCTTTATCTATAGACAGAGTATTCCTGACATTTTGTAGTTATCCTTCTTCTCTCCTTTTCTTTATCTACAGACAGAGTATTCCTGACATTTTGTAGTTATCCTTCTTCTCTCCTTTTCTTTATCTATAGACAGAGTATTCCTGACATTTTGTAGTTATCCTTCTTCTCTCCTTTTCTTTATCTACAGACAGAGTATTCCTGACATTTTGTAGTTATCCTTCTTCTCTCCTTTTCTTTATCTATAGACAGAGTATTCCTGACATTTTGTAGTTATCCTTCTTCTCTCCTTTTCTTTATCTACAGACAGAGTATTCCTGACATTTTGTAGTTATCCTTCTTCTCTCCTTTTCTTTATCTATATACAGAGTATTCCCGACATTTTGTAGTTATCCTTCTTCTCTCCTTTTCTTTATCTACAGACAGAGTATTCCTGACATTTTGTAGTTATCCTTCTTCTCTCCTTTTCTTTATCTACAGACAGAGTATTCCTGACATTTTGTAGTTATCCTTCTTCTCTCCTTTTCTTTATCTACAGACAGAGTATTCCTGACATTTTGTAGTTATCCTTCTTCTCTCCTTTTCTTTATCTACAGACAGAGTATTCCTGACATTTTGTAGTTATCCTTTTATTCTTCTTTGTCTTTATCTACAGACAGAGTATTCCTGATACTTTTAGTAATCCTCTGTCTTTTCTTGTCTTTATCTATAGACAGAGTATTCCTGACATTTTGTAGTTATCCTTCTTCTCTCCTTTTCTTTATCTACAGACAGAGTATTCCTGACATTTTGTAGTTATCCTTCTTCTCTCCTTTTCTTTATCTATAGACAGAGTATTCCTGACATTTTGTAGTTATCCTTCTTCTCTCCTTTTCTTTATCTATAGACAGAGTATTCCTGACATTTTGTAGTTATCCTTCTTCTCTCCTTTTCTTTATCTACAGACAGAGTATTCCTGACATTTTGTAGTTATCCTTCTTCTCTCCTTTTCTTTATCTATAGACAGAGTATTCCTGACATTTTGTAGTTATCCTTCTTCTCTCCTTTTCTTTATCTATAGACAGAGTATTCCTGACATTTTGTAGTTATCCTTCTTCTCTCCTTTTCTTTATCTACAGACAGAGTATTCCTGACATTTTGTAGTTATCCTTCTTCTCTCCTTTTCTTTATCTACAGACAGAGTATTCCTGACATTTTGTAGTTATCCTTCTTCTCTCCTTTTCTTTATCTATAGACAGAGTATTCCTGACATTTTGTAGTTATCCTCTTATACTCCTTGTCTTTAGTCACCCGCGTGGCGCACTAGTTAGAGCGTCTGCTCTAGAGTCGCAAAGTAATTAAGGACTTGATTCTTTTTTCCCGGTTCAAATCCCACTGTGCATGGACGTGGGTACCGGTTCTTACAGATAAGACTGTATAAACCAAGTCCCGGTAGATGCTGGCACGAAAATTAAAAATTCTTCGCTGCTCAATGGCCGTACGTGCCGAGTATAGGACAAATTTTCAGCTTTCCTCCGGCAATTGGTTACGTCTCCATATGAGTTGAAAATTCTCAAGAGGGACATTAAACAACAAACAATCAATCAATCATTGTCTTTATCTATGATTAAACAGATTATTCCTGAAATTTTGTAGTTTTCTCCTTTCTCTCTGTCTTTACATATATATGTAGACAGAGTATGCCTGACATTTTGCAGTTTTCCTTATTCTCCTAGTTTTTACCTATCGACAGAGTATTTCTGACATTTTGCAGTTTTCTCCTTTACTCTCTTTGTCTTCACCTTAACACAGAATATTTCTGATATTTGTAGTTTTCCTTTTATTTTCCTATTCTTTACTGGTATACACTGTAACCTGCCATTTTGCTTCGTCCTTATGATACGGATTTTTTCAGCAACCAATAACAGCTCATCAAAACGCGATCTCGGGAAGTGACCTATGTAGAAGATGTCAGTCACATCGTAGACCAGATTAGAATATGGAGAAGAATACAGTACTGTTACCTTGCTAATGGTGTAATCTGATCTGAAAGAGAGGGAGCAAATGACAAAAAGGAAGCTACAAGGAACATCATGGTCTGTGATACACAAGTGTGCGCTGGGTATGTCGATTATTCGACAACACTCGGAGAGCTGTTGAAATGATGATAGGGGATTTGAAAGTTAAACACTAGTAAGTAAAAGATGGATTTCAGACACGTCCGTACGAAAACGGTCCCTCGCTGTAAAAGACAAAATTTGCAGCTCTCCACCGGCAAGTGGTGGCGTCTCCATATGAGTGAAAAATTCTCGAGAGGGACGTTAAAAATATACAATCAATCAATCCTGGGCGTACACACTTTCCACAGTGGGATTCAAACCCGCGACGTAAGGATCGATTCCTTACTTCGCGACTCTAGAGCAGACACTCTAACCACGGTGCCACCCGAGCGAATACTGTACGCCCAAGAGGTCACATTTCTTCGTGGAATAGTCCTGAGGAGTCCCCCAAGCAATGTACAAAAAGGTCAAAACTAGACATGGACAGGTGAGGCACGTGTGTTGACTGGCTTGATGATGTCACTTATTGCGAACCAGTGGATATTTCAAGGGTGAGGTCCTTGAGCACTACATCTCAACAGTGCGAAAATGACTTGTATGGAACGGTAGTAAAAGCGTCTGCTCTTGAGTCGCGAAGTAAGGAGCTGATCCTAACGTCGCAAGTTCGAATCAACTTCGGGACGGGAAGACAGGTTTCTCGAATGAGACCGTATACTAGTAAACTTGGTCCCGTGTCGAAGTACATGTAGTTGCTGACACGAAAAAGACTCCTTAGTGCTAAATGGTCCTGAGGCCTAGTATAGGTACACATGTGAAGCCCTTGACAGGACAATGGTGGCTTCTCCACGTAATCGAAAAAATCTCGAGAGGTACTTACTAATAAATAAACAAACAAACAATCTTCGTCGCTCCAAATGAGCATGAGACGTGTGAACATCGTTGATGAGAAACTAAAAGGTTGATTGATGATGACAAGATGACGACACTGAATAGGTTTAGAAAAATAAAAATTAAAAGCGGAAAAGCCAAGGTTACAATCGAAAATCAACTTTATTGTTGAGAAAACAAAGATAAAATCAGTTGGAATTGCCAACTATAAAGTTGGTAAAGTCACGATATAGGTAGGATTAAAGCCATATATGGCGTAACTGATCAAAAAATATATTTTTGAAAAATACAAAATTGAGTAAAGAAATATAGTTAGTACATTTAAATTAAAGCTTTTCATACAATTCTGAACACGGAGAACACCTCGTTTCATCTAATAATACGATTTTATCTTCTCTGTAATGTGTTATTAAATCTTTTGTATTTTCACGATTTATAACCCAATTGACTTAGATTTTGTAATTTACGTCAATTTAATGATACAAAATTATTATATAATTTTCAACATTATATGGCTTTAAGAAGTCACGATTTATAATAAGAATTGTCAATTTGAAAAAATTATTATATAATAATTTAAATGTACACTCCCGTACACGTGTATATTTAAGTATAGATTAAGATATTAATATTCTGTTCCTAACGGAATAATCCAGTTGTAATATCTTTATTAAATATAGAAAGAAAGGTAAGTAAGACAATTAATAAATATTCCAAGAAAAAGCAAGAGTTGTTTCGCATATGTTGTATCCACCGCGGCGAACAAAGGAGGAGGGCGAATAAGGGTGCAGAATGTTTATAGCTTCGAATGCACAAAAGTCATATTCAATTGATGAAATTAAAATATTCTCAATTTTGAAAGATTTAT